AAAAAGTAGCAGTAGATATGGCCTTGGCATCCACAAGTTTTCATGGAGCCAAATCCATTGAACCACCAGCCACGGCGGCCGGAGCCACCGCTCTACGGCTGCCGGCCGCCCGTTTTTCTCTAAGGACGTCCTTCTTTTCACCATCCATCCGCCAGTTGATGCGGCCATCTCAAGTCTCAAGTGTTCCGGCAACTGCCCCCAAATTCTTCATGCGACTGGCTTCCAAGCAAGCCTACATTTGCCGTGATTGTGGGTAATAGTTGCATTTTTTATTGTTGTTATTTTATTTTATTTATTTATTGGTATTAACAATATTTGTTTGTGTTTCTATATGTGTTGGATTGGATTGAAATAATGTGGCATATCCTGACATGAACTTTTAAATTCTCTTTTACTGCTGCTGCTATTGCTATTATTAATCTTTTGTGAATTGAAAAATATTGGATTGGTGATGCAGGTATATCTACAACGACAGAACCCCATTTGAGAAGGTGCCTGATAATTACTTCTGTCCTGGTAAATTGCTACAGAAATCTCAGTAATCTTACACACTTTAAAACTATTATTATTAGTATTATTATTATTATTATTATTATTATTATTATTATTATTATTTCATTGATGTTTTGCAGTTTGTGGTGCCCCAAAGAGGAGGTTTAGGCCATATCAGCCAGCAGTGACCAAAGATGCCAATAGCACAGAGGTTAGAAAAGCCAGGAAAGCACAGATTAAGAGAGATGAATCTATTGGGTAAAAATGCTTCATGTCCCACAGTTTCTTTTACAACCTTTGAAGCCTCAATTTTCTCATATATTNAAAAAAAAAAGAAAAAAAAAATTGTAGATATCAAAGGTTTGTTCTTTTTGCTTTTGCAGGCAGGCATTGCCCTTTGCAGTGGCACTTGGAGCTGCAGCTTTGGCTGCTTTATATTTCTACCTCAACAGTACCTACTAAAGAGTTCAATGATGCAGAATCTGGATTTATGAGCCAAAGACTAGAAAGTCATTGCATCTCAACTTGTATTTTTCTTTTTTCTTTTCAATTTTTTTGTAATTGGTTCATAACAATTTCACATTCTTTTGTCTAATGTCCAGTTAAGTTTATGTACTTAATGCTTCTATAGGTCAACTTCATCATATTAAGGACTTCAATAGAAAAAAAGTAACCTATCACAGGAAACTGAGGAGCTTCTTTAGTTGAGTAGTGTAGGGCTGGATAGAACTCGAATCATAGAAATAAGATACTAAAAATAGTCCAGGTTTCTTGATCTTAGTGATAATTATTACAATATAATCAAGAACCCCATTGCATGTACTACTATCTAAAAGAATCAAAGGTAACTTAATTTACAAATATTAGGAGCAAAGTAATATGAGATTCAGACAATGCAAACCTGAGGTGTCTGCAAAGTTTGACCTATTATACATATATGTGATGGATGAAGAAAATGAAAAGTATCATTCTTGGAGAACAAACGAACCATCAATCATTTTGTCCATGAATTCAGGTCGAAAAGTTAATGGCGAAAATGGATTGCTGTAACTCGNAAAATAAATTTTGGTTGAAACTAACTTGATTCCCATTCTCATCATAACCTCTGTCCCATGTGTGTATTTCGCTATTCTTCAAAACTGTGAGTTCAGATTTACAAATTGATGCTCCATTCTGCAATATATGTAAAGCATTTAAGTAACATAAAATGAACACACACTGTATGCACATATGGATGGGAATATTTGAAAGGAGAGGGGTAAAAGTAAACAACAGGCCTACCCATGTATTAGGAAATCCATCTGGAGGAGTCGAGCCTTCATACAAACAGCGTTTGCCTCGATCACATCGTTTGAGGTAAATGGTGGTCAAATGCTCTGCAATGTCCTATGAGATTTCCTAAGATTAAATGATAAAAGATACTGCCTACTCATAGCAAGGTTGACAAAATATATGTTGATATTACCTAAACCAAAGAAATCTCCAGGTATATCGATAGTAATGCATATTCTCCTATTTCATGTACTTTGAGTAGGAAAACCCAAGTACTTCAACATACATCTCGCTCTACTTATTATAAAACTAGAAAGGATCCTTGTGCAGCTGATTGTTTAGTTATAAGAATTTTCTGTAATAATTTTGCTCATGACAAGCAATTTCATCCGTTCTCACTTTTCAATCATCTATTAGATCCAATTCAATTTCACCAAAAAAATTTACATCAATTATAATTCCAGCCCTACAGCAGCTTTATATCATAAATACTTCATCTACTCTGTCTTACATTTCTAATCACTAATCACATAATATCACTGTTTTACCAAGAGAAACCAGCATTTCAACTTTCATTGTTACATTTTCATTTCATTTAATACTCAACTATAGGGGGGGTGATTGTTGTTAATTCAGCTAGTGATATCCTTAAATAATATATAAACGGTGTGCGTAGTAATGATGTTATTCTCAAAACTAAAAAAAATATACCAAGCGGATCATAATCAACAATGAGGCTGATCCAAAAGAATGGTGTGCAAGGCAGCAATTACGAGATTTTGGCACAAACATACGAAAAAAGAAAAAAGAAAAAAAAAATCAATAGAAAATGTTCTTCAGTTTCATTATCAATGTGTATCCACAATAACACTTACCCCAATTACTTCTTCAGGCTGTGGCCTTTGGTCCTTCGGTCGATCACAGAAGTTCTTGTATTCCTCCGAATCCCGGATTGCATAGGTACTAAGCTGTCCAGTGAGCCAGGGATTTTATCATTAACTTAAGTAGTACGGATCATGGCTAATCATGTGGAAAATAGGATGATCTTTTCATCCTACTACATTGACATCTTTAACCAATAATTAGTAGAGATAGTTATGGAAGCAAAACAAGACTTGGAACTAACCTCAACATCACATTTCATCTCCTTTGAACAAGGCTTTACCATGACAAATCTCTGTAACAAGAGTGCCGTTAAAACTAGTAACAGGTAGAAAAACTGGCAAGTAATTGATGAAAAACTTCACATTCTTCTCATTGAAATGATGACAAAGCCCAATGTGGAGAAGCAGACAAAAGCAACTCAAGCGTTTGATGGTATAACTGTTTGCTTACAGGTTAACATCATTTCACTATAACAAATTCTAATGGAGATGTACTACAACATCATCAAATAAGCTGGTGGTAAAATAGGGATCAAAACTGATTAGGGTTTAAACTCTTGAAAATACCTGCCTAAATGGTTTGCGAGGAGTCCTCCAGAATGCCTGTCCAAGAAAAACTCCACTGAGAATCTCCATGAAGTAGGGAATGTTACACAAGACTGTGTACATATTCAATGTGATTTACAAAATTGTACCTGCTCGAAGTACAAAACCCTGGAACCATCCACCATTTCTGCTGCCGGGCATGAAAGCCATCTGGAAATGCCAAAAAGACACTG